GGCTACTCAAGAGATTCAGAAAAAGCAAACAAAGGCAAGTTTAATGGCCATTCCTCTTGATTCCGTAGGAAGCTGATCAGCTATTCCTAATAGCCAATAGCTCTAGAATGTGGGTCATTCCCAAATCTACCTGGACGCTAGAAGAGTGCTGAGAGGTCCTGGTGTCAGATTTTCATGTTTTGGGATTCAGGATTTCCAAGGTCAGGGTATTTAGTGATCCCCTGAGAAAGAACTAAAACTACCACCATCAGCAGATACTGGCCTGAGAGCTCATAGAATACAAAGAAGACTGAACGCGTCTCAGTTATTCCTTCAGCATTACTTTTGGAATTATGAGGCAACAAACCTAAGACCTAAACACTAGATGTCTTTCTTTCAGATGGCTCAAATTTGAAACCTACTTTCCAATTACAGTTTAATTTTTAGTGGCTTAAACAACAGAAACTTATTCTCATACAGTTCGGGTGGCCACGAGTTCAAAATAAGTCTTACAGTGCTCATATCAAGGTGTTTGCAGTGCTACCTTCTTCTGGCAATTACACTTTTATATTTTTATTCTTTGTGTATTCATTTAATCATGCCAGTGGAAAACTTCACCTGGTGGCCATTGTTTTCTTCAGGGGAATGTGATTCAAAGAAGAAAAGGGCTATCAAAGAAGAAAAGGGCTATGTTGTTCAGATTCACTGTACAATTCAAGAGAATTACCTCTTGGCCCATGGGGCATATCCAAATGGCACTTAAACACATAGTTTAGGAAGGGGTTAGGAAAGTTATATTCTTGGGGAAAAAAAAGTTTTGAGGACTGTATGAGTGGGGATGATAGTCCTAAGAGTATGTAATTTCTTCCACAAATTTCTAATAACCATTTAAAACAATGTAGTCTCCTTCCTACATCACAAATACCATATTTGACTCTAGTACTCCCTTCATTAAATATAAACTAGTTTTTGAATGTTATCCTCCATGACTTGACTAAAATTGAATGAAAACAATGTACTTATGAAAGGGAGAAAAAAAAAAAGAAACATAACCACAACTAAAAGACAAGTTTACCTGTGCTTTTGGATGTGTCTGTTGCGAGGAATGCTGAGATTGCTGTTTCTGCTGAAGCTGAGCAAGCTGCTGCCTCTGCATTTGAACTAACTGCTGTTGATGTGTCTGAAACTGCTCTTCTGTGATACCCCCTGTTACTGGTAAAGGACATTCATTTCAGAAATAAGTATGTGTTTTAAAGTACTTATAACAACACAAAGTATGATACAGTATGACACAATTGCCTAATTAAGATGAAAAGCAATCGCAAATCGACATCAGCAAAGAACCCAACAAAAAGCAAAAGTGGTTTTATGGTAATATCCATAATCTTCTAATGTCACATGCTAAAAAAGTTTCTATATGTAGTGTTTACTGTATAACGTAGTTCTAACAAAAGGATTCTAATCATTTATTCAGATTTAATGTCTTTGAGATCACTTTTAATTCACTATATTGTGGTAACAATAAAATAAAAAAATTTTGATTTATTAACTGAAATAATAATAATGACTAAGTGATAGCTTTAGTAACAAAGCAGGACCATCCAGAAGACTAAATGATTCTTACTGCTGGTGTCCATTCAGGACATTTTCTCTGATTACAAATCAGAGTAGAGAACAAAGATGTTCATCTAGTTTAACCATTAACTATAGTTTCAAGCCAATAGATTGATGCTAAAATAAGTCTTATCTATACAAATATGGGCTAGAAACCAGAGAATCGTTCAGAAAATTAAAGGTAGAATGTATCCTCTCCAATGTAAGCAATTATGCTGTGATCAACTGTGTTAAAAGTTAGTAGATTTCAAGTAAAAGACATCTAAAACTTCTGTTTACAAGTTAGCTAAGAAAAAGTTATAACAGAAAACATTTTTCTTTACTTTCATTCACTAGTTTTCAAGTACATTATTGATAAACTGAGCTTGAGGACAAAAGCTATTTCCATACATTATCAAAACCAAGAAATATTAAGTCACATCAGAATACATCTATTACTAGAATAATTTTGCTCTACTTTTCTTCATTGCTTTCTTTGCTCTCCCCAACTATTTCTTTCAATCACCAAATATTTACTATCTACCATGATGCAGAGTGCTACATTTAAGAGTTAAGTGAATACAGGGCAAAATAAACTAAGAGGGCCCCTGCTATAAAATCCTATGGTGTAGTTGGAAAGATACGTAAAAGAAATACCAACTAATATGAGTCAACCTTTAAGTGTAATTGAGCAATCAAATCAACAGAACCTAAAGGGGTTTAGCTAGAAGACTATAGACTACACCCTAAACCTAGGTTACTTAACTACCCCCACCCCCAAGTTTTCCATTTAGTACAATTACAAATGAGAAGTTAAAAAAATATGATAGTAAATTAGATATATAATACGTTTTGAATACAGTCTATTTTCTATGAAAAGGCAGTTAGGCCCCAGAGATGGACAAAGCATTTGATATGCCTTCATTTCTGTTCTGCAACATTGAAATTTGTATTGGACTATGGGGGAAAAAAAAACAGTTCCTAGATAGCAATTTTAATTTTTAGAAGATTAAAAGACCTGGTGTTATGAGAACGCTCACTCTAAAATTTTAATATTACCTGTATTTTTGAAGTACACATTAGTTATCTTACTGAATTACCAACAAAATCAAATGTTTTTCTTTGTTTGCACATATTAAATTCATTGCAAGTGTTCTATTTTTAAATGAAAAATATATTTTTAATTCTAAATTTACAATCTTCAAAATCAAATGAAAATGTGAAGTATTCATGAATTTCCAGCTGTTTGAAAACCTTGGGAAAGAGATGAAAAATAGTTTATTAGATAAAAAGCAGGAAGGAAAACTCTTAAGTTAAACCCAAATAAATCTGTTTAAGTCTTAGGTGTGCCAATTCAGATGAAATGGACTTGGAATCTGGTGTTAGCATGGTCTACTCCCTCAAATCCAAGATTATGTTTGTCTAGAGCTAAGTTTTTGTTGTGAAAAGGTGGCAGGTTATGGTGATTGAGGAATAAACTAAATTAATTATAATTTTAATGGCTATTTCAAAATTGAGAGAGAAATGAGAACAGTGAGAATCATCTCTAAAATATTTTAATTCAGAAAATCATGAAATCGAATTCAGAGTAAGTATGTATCTAAATTAGTAGAAAGAAAATAAATAAATAAATTAGTAGAAAGAACAAAAAGCATTTTTTAATTTAAAAAAATGGTTGGTAGTCCATGACAAAGTATTGCCTACTACAGGTGTTCTAATTGCTTTTTATGAGCGATGACCATTTACATATATATATTAAAAAGGAATACTGATAAAATTGCCTGTCTTGGGGAGGGGGGGTGGTATGTCTACTTACTGCCTTGTCTTGTTGAGACCATAATTTGTTCAGAAACCCCATCCTTTCCCCATAGAAAACTCATTAAAATTTCAACCAAGACTCAATTCAAATTATTCAAATTAATGGGGTTTCCTAAGTTTTTTAACCTAGGCTGACTTTGATACCAAAAATTTCATCCCTGATCCCATTACCAGTTCAGAATCACTGGTAATATAAACTCAGCTTAATCCTATAATATGCTTCGAAAAATGACATTTTTTTCCTCTTCCCCTTATCTCAAGCTTAGCATGTTATATTCTTTCTTGACACCTAGTTTTCTTTGCTATAATGTTTTGTGCTTGAAAAACAAGCTGATGTTCCTCATTCAGTATTTTCTAGAGCACTGTTCAGTATTATTTCAATTCTTTAGACAAAAAGAGCAATTAGTAATTATGACACAGAATTTGAACACATAAAATATCCTTTCTAACTGACCTGTTTCATTTTGTTAGGGTGAATGGAAAGTGCTAAGAAATGTGTGATCTTAATGGCACAGACACAGTACTGAATTATCATTCTTAGGGCTGACTTAATGGTAGATGGAAGTAGGTAACTTGGTAGGTAATTTGACTGAAAGCACCTTCTCTACTGATTATTCTTCCTTTCATAATCACTCAAATAGTTTCACAAGAAATTTATTTTGCACACTGACTTGCAGTCATCAAAGGGGTAAACATTAAAACACTGCAGGAAAAGGTTGCAGTTATACTGTGAGGAAATCTGTTTCGAAATGAGATAGAGAATAGGAGGTTCCGTAGTGGCAAAAAGGGGAGTTGGGAATGTACAAATCTGTTTATCTGCTTCTCTTGCCAAGACAAGCTCTTTCTACTAGTTGCTCAAAGGTTGCTAGCTTAAAACTAAAATTTATGCTGGTCGTAAGTCTATCCTACCATGCCCCTCCAAGTGCTGTCACTTTAAAAGTAACCACAGGGATCCCTGGGTGGTGCAGCGGTTTAGCGCCTGCCTTTGGCCCAGGGCGCGATCCTGGAGACCTGGGATCGAATCCCACGTCAGGCTCCCAGTGCATGGAGCCTGCTTCTCCCTCTGCCTATGTCTCTGCCCCTCTCTCTGACTATCATAAATAAATAAAAATTAAAAAAATAAAAAATAAAAAATAAAAGTAACCACAAATCTGATTGTTTTGTAAAGGTACCAATATTTCACTAATCTAGATAGATGGTAAGGGTCCTTTTACCTGAGTAAGAAGTTTTCCAAATCTCTGTGGTTAATACATACTAATAGATAGGTATACATATTATAGAATTTTCCTCTTTATATGTGCAAATATATCATTCTATACACTAGTGATGTACTTGCATTTCTAGGTATCTTGTGTATATAACCAACAGTTGTTTTTTCACTAAAGCCTCTAACCTCTCTATTTTTTTGATCTGGCTCAGTATCCATCTTTTTTTTTTTTAAAGATTTTATTTATTTATTTATGAGAGACAGAGAGAGAGAGAGAGAGAGAAAGAGAGAAAGAGAGAAAGAGAGAAGAGAGAGAGAGAGAGAGAGAGAGAGAAGAGAGAAAGAGAGAAAGAGAGAAAGAGAGAGAGAGAGAGAGAGAGAGAGAGGCAGAGACCCAGGCAGAGGGAGAAGCAGGCTCCACGTGGGGAGCCCGATGTGGGACTTGATCCTGGGTCTCCAGGATCAAGCCCTGGGCCAAAGGCAGATGCTCAACCACTGAGCCACCCAGGCATCCCTCAGCATCCATCTTAGATATCAGTTGCCTTATTCGCCAAATGAATCCATGTATTTTTTGTTAGAATACCTGTCACCATCCTTGAAATGTTGATTCTGTTTTCAAAAGTCCTAGGTATTCCTCATTTCATCTTTCACCTTTCACCTTTCAGGTATGTGGTTCCTGTGTGGTAATCTGCTAGGCTCACCCCTTATCAGCTTTCCCTACCATATTCTGACAGTGGTCCATCAAAAATAAACTCAAGGTGTCACCACTATATTTTATACTGGTTTAATGATTCTAAAAGCCCTAGATCACTGCTTCTTAAACTTAGGCCCACAGAGGTAGTATTCATGAGTATGTGGGAAATCTTTTACAAGTATTTGCTAACTTTTGTTGATAGAACTTAAAAAAAATCTAATAGAAACACATTCTGGATCTTCTTGATGACCATCTCACAATAGGGTATGAACATATGATTTTGTGCTTGTGTGTGCCTTTTAAAAATTATCTTTTAATGCAGTGTTTCTCTAAGTGGGCTAATACAATGTATTCTTGGGAAGCTATGAATTTTTTTAAACACTAGTCTAGACCAAGTTTTCAAAGTTTACTGAAGAACAACTAATACGGTGGTAAAGATTATCTAAGAGTCAAAATGCATATATTATTATCCAGCATTTCTTCATCTACAGGGTAGGTCTTTGTTATAAAAGTCTTAATATATGCTTTATTGAAGCAATACTGACTATACACATTTTTGGTTTGTTTTAAAAGATAGATCTGGGGCTGTTGGGAGTAGGGAAGACAGACAACTTATTTTAAACCTTGTAGGTTTTAGTGAGGAGTCAGGTGAAAGTTCATATGAACCTTTGGAGCTACTATGAGGACAAATCTTTCAATCCTTCAAAGTTGACATTATTCGTCCAGGACTATACACACCCTATGAGGTAACTCTCACAGTTAAAGGCAAACTAATGAATAGGCTACAAAACTATGGGGGCACAAAGGGGTGAAGATGGGAGGTGAGGTCAGGAGTGAAGGGTGAGGAGATGAAGAATGAGGAACAAATGTATGAAAATGAAGACTCATTTAAGGGGTGCCTGGCTGGCTCAGTTGGTAGAGTGTGTGACTCTTGATCTTGAGGTTATAGGTTTGAGCCCCATGTTGGGCTGAGAGGCTACTTAAAAAGAAAACAAAATCTTTAAAAGACCCATTTAGCGGCGAAGGAAGCCATTGAGGGTTTGGTCGCAGTTTTTGAAGATGCCGCGCAAGGGAAAGAGCGGTTCCAGGAAAGGGGGGAAAGGGGGAGCCGCCTCTGGGAGTGACAGTTCTGACAAGAAGGCCCAGGGTCCCAAAGGTGGTGGTAATACAATAAAGGTTAGACACATTCTGTGTGAAAAACATGGGAAAATCATGGAAGCCATGGAAAAGTTAAAGTCTGGAATGAGATTCAATGAAGTAGACACACAGTATAGTGAAGATAAAGCCAGGCAAGGGGGCGACTTGGGTTGGATGACCAGAGGTTCCATGGTGGGACCATTTCAAGAAGCAGCATTTGCCTTACCTGTAAGTGGGCCGGATAAGCCTGTGTTTACCGACCCTCCAATTAGGACAAAATTTGGATATCATATTATTACGGTTGAAGGGAGAAAATAAAATGGTATGAAAGACGGAAAAAAAATAAAATAAAAGACCCATTTAAATTTGTGATACTCAACCTAAAGAGTTGTAACTGGAATTTCAGTATTAGTCCTTCAGCAAACTAAAAAATTTTAACTCCTGAAATCTGAATTTATTATCTCATACTTCTGGAAGCAATCATAACTCAAAAATAAATCCTTGTATCTTAGCTAGTTGTGAAAATATAATTTTACCTATTCAAAAACTTTCATATTTGCCAATATTTTATGGCAATTTAGGAAAGAACAGGAAAAAACCTGAAAAAATTAAAAAATCAGGAATTTCTCTGGAAAATTGTCCAAAATGTTGATATTCTTACAAATTGGTATGTTAAAATATTTGCAGCTGGTGAAAAAGGCTGCTGGTATCTATCTATTCAATATTCAAAGACAAATGAGGGGAAAAAATGTTAACTGCAACCACAGTCAAAACCAAGGTTAAATAAAAGTAAATTAATCCAGCTCTTCAAGTCTGAACAAGCAAAGCTACATCCATCCATCCATCCACCCATCCATCCATCCATCCATCCATCCATCCATCCATCCATCCATCCACCCACCCACCCATCCATCTTTAAAGTAATTTACACCCAACACAAGGCTTGAATTCACGATCTGGAGACCAAGAGTCACATGCTCTACCAACTAAGCCTGCCAGGTGTCCCAAGCAAAGCTAGTTTTAGATATACATTTTCTTAAATTTTGGATTTAAGAACAGTATCTCAAAAGAATAAATAATACTGCAGTTTCAAATGACTAAAAACTTTATTTATGTAAAAAATGTAATACTTGCTTGCCATGTGCTGGAAGCTCCTTAAAGGATTATTCTTGTAAAACTGCAATATTAAACACTTAACATAGTGCTTTGCATATAATAATTCTAAGTAATTATGTGTGAAATTAGTTTTCCTTGGTTATTCACACTTGCTATTTTTCAGCACAATCTATCTTTTCTTTCTCTGTCCTGGTTCTATTCTTTGAAAAGAGTTTTTCAGTTAAGAAAACAGATCTTCATTTTACATAATACTTAATAAGACATGTGTCTTTGCTTTAAAATGAAGTCTTTGGTTTTAGTTCTTCTACTACCTAGGACATACATTCTAATTTGTTTTAAGTACTTTAGTATGACATCAAAAAGAACAATTAGAATCTATTTAGGACACAGGGATTATGACTTGAAAAATATTAACTGGGTTATTAACAACATAAAAAAATTCTTTGCCACTAGCACTCAAGTTCAAAAACTAAAAAAGTTGTGATTAAACATTATTGTCAAGAGTATCACAGTTCTATTTCTGATTAAACTATTTGTTGTGATATTCCAGCTGTGAAACAGAAAATTTAGTACTTATAATTTGTCTAGCTCAGTGACACACCCTGTAAGGTAAAAATAGGGTCCTGTGTCAGTCTCGTCACTCTTAAAGACAAACATGCTCTCATGACCAAGTCCACTAAGAATAAGGCAACAGTATTAATATAAAGGCATAAAGACTGAAAGAAATAAAAAATAAAGATTCTTTTGTCTGTGTCCACCAAATATAAAACTACAACTTTCTAAAAACTCTTACATTCTTCTCTTTAATTCGATGAAGGAATTGCTATCAGTATTTACTGTACTGTAATGGAATCCAACTAAATTTTCTAACCAGAACTGAGAGGACTATGTAACGAATAGAACTGGTACAAATGGGTACTTCAAATGTTTACAAAAATGCTGTTAAAAGACTTGTTCCATTATGCATTTATATACCTGTGCCTAGTATTTTGAAACAAATATATTAGGAAAAAAAAAAAAAAACACCTTGTGGCCTCAATGATTAAAGGGTCACAGCTGAGAAGGAAAACTTCAAATATAACCCTTTACTCTAGGCAATAGAATATATATTTGGGGGGATCCCTGGGTGGTACAGCGGTTTGGCGCCTGCCTTTGGCCCAGGGCGCGATCCTGGAGACCCGGGATCGAGTCCCACATCGGGCTTCCGGTGCATGGAGCCTGCTTCTCCCTCTGCCTGTGTCTCTGCCTCTCTCTCTCTCTGTAACTATCATAAATAAAATAAAAAAATTAAAAAAAATTAAAATAATCTTCTAAAAAAAAAAGAATATATATTTGAAAATTTCTATTTAAGACACTGATTCTAATGTAGCTAAGTTGTTGCTTAAGTCTTGAAATCTGTCAAGGAAAGAAGGAAATGGTACTATGTTGAGAATACTAAAAAATTAAGACAGGAAATATACAGACCAAAAAGACTATTATTTTAATGATAGGAGAAAGGCAGAAATTAATATATTTGTTATTTATTTGAAAAGTGCATCCATGCCTAAGATACTTTAAATGCTTATTTTATGCTAATATATCATGATAGTGTCATAAAATTCTAGAGCTAATATTATGGGATTATTGAAACTATAGTAAGCCATATTCTGGATCAATACAAACAGAATAAAGATGATACAGTAACATACAAAATCTATGCATATTTTCTGGAAAAGAGTTTAGTTAAATCCTTCTGGAGTTTATTGGGAATGTACAATAGAAAGCTGCAAATATCTGGCCATGTTCAAAGTGAGATGAAACACAAAATCACTTTTTTGGTATGGCATTCATTGTTAGAGAAGAAACTCAAATCTACTATCAAATCTAATTATTAGTGCCTATATTGAGATATTTTTAAATTCCCCTTTTGGCAAAAATTATTTTGAGTAATTTTTGATACAGGAATTCCAGTTCTGTTTATTTGAACACTGTCATGGAGTTGCCTTAAAAAAAAAAAAAAGACCTAATATTCATCAACTTCCTACTACCTTTAGGTTTCTAGGAAGACTGCCACCACAAATCATATTAGGAATTTATCCATTTCAGCATCAAAAGCTCATTAAAACTTCACAGACTCATGAACTTTATATAATGAGATACCATTTTCTTTACCTAAGTTTATTTGGGAGAAAATTAACCAATTAATTTGGAGGAATGACATTATCAACTTCTAATTATTCAAACAAATCTAATTTTCTAATATAATCTTTAAATGGATAAGTGGCCAGATCAAGTTTAAAAACAAGCAGTCCAATAACAGAAAGACTGAATATGACTGAGACCAAATTTCAAACTAAAATGATTTGCAACCACTTTAAAGAGGTTTAACATAATTTCACATAGTAAAATGCACCATCCAGGTTAAAGTAACTTCGAAATACATACGTTTTATAGAAAGAAAGGATATCAACAGTGTAAGAGAAGTCACATCTAGTTTTGTCTCTGGATACCATGTACTGATGTATCTATCATAAGGATATTAAAAATTATACCTACTTGTATACATGTTATAAAGACTATCCGCAGATGAAAACAAATCAAAATTACATTTTAGATTGTCTAGATACTATACATTTACAATGTACATGTCATAAAAAATTAATTTGAGCACAGTGTTTCTTAAAATGCTCTCCAATCTCAATCAGAGGTAAACTACCAGACAAAATTACGACTAATCATAGGGAGCTTCTTAAAAAAAAAAAATCATTTTTCAGAGAGAGAGCTTTAAATGGTACTCTTGAGGAACAATACCTACATTTGAGCAAAGTTCATATACACAAAAAAAGGAAACTTTCTTTACCAAGTGCACATTATGGCTATGAAGATCTGCCAGCAGCTTATAACCATTCTGCCCACAGAGAACTCCCTATGTTTTCCACCAACACATTCACAAAACCAGGCACACACATTCAAAACAGAAGTCAGGAGTGCCTGGGTGGCTCAGTTGGTTAAGTGTCTGCCTTTGGCTCAGGTCAGGATCCCGGGGTCCTGGGATCAACCCACATCTGGCTCCTCACTCAACAGGGAGTCCGCTTTTCCCTCTCCTCCCCTGCTTGTGCGCTCTCTCTTTCAAATAAATCAATAAACTCTTAAAAAAAAAAAAGGGTTTTATAGGTAGTAGGAGACTGGTTAAAATATGAACCCCAACAACAGGATTTAGTTTCTTAGGCTGGAAAAAAACTATAGTAGGTTAAGATAAAAAAAAATTCCTTTCTTCAGTGGGATTATAAAAATAAACCTTAAAATTTACCCTGAGCACTTATGTAGTGAATAATGAAAATTAAGGAAAAAAAGAAGAGCAGGATATACTTTTAAAAAGTGACAGCTTACCTGATATGCCATTCTTGCTGGTGTTCAATAAAGCTACAGATGCTGCAGAAACTCTTTTATTGTTCACAGTCTGCCCTGATTTTCTTGAGGTACATTCTTCACTATCACTGTCCTGTAAATTTAGTAGCCTTGGCTGGAAACACTGTAGTCGACATGATCTGATATTGCTTAATATTTCAGAGAGGGACAGTCTATTTTCACAATGTTTACTGGAAGCATTGGTCCGAGTGAAATTAGAAGAAAAGTCTATAGTTTGGGAAGAGCTTGAAAAACCATTCAGCATTTCAGGGTCTATCTGTTTTAGGACTGGGTCATGTTCTGTGGATATCCGGTCCATTATAACCCTGAAAAGCAATATAAAACCAAATATTATCTGGAAGAACTTAATAACATTTTCTCTACATCCTCCTTGCTAGCTTGTAAACAAAAACCAGGCCAAAAGAAATAGTTTACCTTCCACCTCTGCCAATTCGCCTCCTTGCAAATCCTATACATCTTCTTGGGACTGTGAGCGTTGTAAGGCAATGCCTATATCTCAACTTATCCAAATCTGCCAATTCTGAATTTTCAAATGAGTGGTTAACTTGGTCCAAACGAGGCTGCAAAGAAAGAAAAAAAAAATTAAAAATCAGGGAGTAAATGTGAAACGAAGAAAAGTTAAATCATGATAAAAATAAAGTACAGCATTAGAAGAACAATTGAAATTTAGATGTAAAACTGTAAAATTGGAGTTTAAATGACATTAACTAAATAAAATTTTATAAAACTGAATCAAAAGTTCACTTACCAAAATAACTCAAACTGAATATTTTAGGGTATAACATATTTTAGAAGAAATCTATCTTTAAAGAATATTATGACTTTTAACATTTATGTAGAAAAGCAAAGACACTATAGTTAGTAATGTATAGGCTTCTTATTGAGATAAATCAGAAGGAAGTTTTTTGTTTTGTTTTGTT